TCTACAGCCCTGCCAAATTTCATGTTGACCGGTGCAGCCATTTTTGTGCTACGGTTGACGAAAAATCACTGGGAAAAACTAATAATAAAATAAAATAAATAAACAAACTGTACGAAAACAATATGATTCATGCTTATGCTAATAATATATGAGGTTTGGACAAGGAGTACTGTTGTGACAATCATTAAAAAAGTGCTGTAAATTATTTAACGTAACTCTGATTTTATTCTGACCGTATCAATACAATTTGTATACTGGTGTTTAGCTTGAAGTCTGTACTTTTGAAATATATTAAAACAGATTTTTAATGAGAGCATGTCTTTCTCGCTGCAGTGATTTAAAATTCGTCAGGTGTATCTAGAGACTTCATGGAGTTAATCTTCAAATTAATCGTTATTAGCCAAGTGCCACAATTATTCATGCAGGGGTTCCCCCAAACAATTGGATAAGGCTGGCGGGGGTGTGTGAGTGAAGGGAGCGGTACGATAAGTGTAATGATAGTTTATTGCTCTCTCGTCTGTCTGTGTCTTTCTCGAATGTTACAAGTAGGCAAGTGTCTGTACGCTGTGTGAGTGTGCTAACAGACAGCCTCAGAAAAAGGGTGGGGGAAAGCGGGGTGTCTTTTTCCGTCTTGCTGTGGGAGCTAAGCAAAGAGATACACTAACGAGCTGCACAAACGCCATAAATTGTTTATAAAAAAAAAGTAAAGCCTGGTGGCCTTCCAAGGTAATACAATGGGGCAAACGCTGATCGACAATATCGCCCAACCCTAGTTTACTTGTGTATTTTTAGTCGTCCACAAACAGATTTTACCTCAGATGCTAATATTTGGCATTATATTAGGTATAAACTTGCACTCACTTTGTGGTCTTGGGCCCAAAGCATTGGGCAGAGGAAGGCCAGGTTGTTGGGCCCCCTGTGCAGCCATGGGCCCCTGGTTGATGATTTGCCTCTGTAGTCTTGAGCGTCTTTTCTCTTCCAGCTCCTTTTGGATTTTATAGATTTTCTCAGCCAAGAAGTGATAGTACTCATCCTGAAAATCATGTTAAAATAATATTAAAACTGCAGATAGTGAAGTTTTTGAAAACTTCTGGTTTAATGCTAAATTTAAAGCTGTATTTTCTAGATCAGAGATTCTTAACCTAATTGGGCCGCGAGCGCTAACGCCACGGGACTGCATTGATTTTTAATAAGGTGCAATACACTTTCTCACCACTAGTAGCAGAAGTGCGCCACTCAGATGTTTAACTACTTTTTTAATATGTAGAAGAAGAACCTTAGAAACCTTACGAGAATGGAAACCTATTTTAAATGAAAAGTAGAAGCAAAAATGAAAGTAACTCATCAAAAAACACCAAAGTTTGTCACTAATATGAAGAGCAGCTTCTGGTTCTACCATGTAATATTTTAAAAGTTCAAAACATTATCAAATACAGTTGCAATACAGCTATATTTTAATTTGCACTTGTATTTTGTAGTTTAAGGAAATTTTAAACCTGTCAAAAAGCTGTTGTTACTGTTATTGTT